GTGTTTAATTAAAAACGTTGTTGTGTGTGTGTGTTACTTATATTGTAAATTATTTGGGCATTACATTCCCACCTTCCCTGAGGTACGATAACGCTTTTGTTTGCATATCCCTCCCAGCCAAGAAGGCGCTCCTCTGTTTTTCGCCCCCATAAATGACATCATGCCCTGAGTCTGGAATTCACTATGATCCCATCGTTTCGATCGGGCGCGCATTGCTCGTAACGTGTGATTAATCCAGCGGCGTTCGTTTAACCAGCTTGACTTTGCCGATGAAATCCGGAAGGCCGAAACCGGTTCCAGAGTTTGCTTGCTTAAAAACTAACACTGATAATACTGGGTTTAACACGTAGGCTTGGAAGCGTATTATTAAATAATACACATTACATTTTGATTTAAATAATTACTAATCTACAACTCATTACTAATCATAACCAATGACTGATTACTAATCGATTATATAATTACAATACCCCCCCCCCCTCCGTCTCTAATCACTGCACCTGATATGAGTTAAATGATGACATCACCCTGCTGCTCTATATAAAACCGGGAACAAGCGAGGGCTTTACCATTCTGGCGAATTGCCCGATGATGCTGGATGTATTTACCAGCGAAACGTCGTACTCAAACTGTAAATGTGGATTCACTCTTCAACACACCTGATGACATCCGTTTGTGTTATGGTCGACACGTCGTGAGAATTTTTTATTGTTTTATATATATATTATTATTTTATTGTTTCCCTTCAACGTGACTTTACCGAAAGAGCTAAGAATATGAATTGCTGCAGTCACGAAAGCTTTAAATCAAAATTTAGGCCAGGACTGATTGAGAAATATTGCTGTGTTTTGGTTTGTGGAAAAGGTGAAAAACCCCTACTCCTCACTCACCACGGACTCATCACAATCAAATGCCACTTAGTAACTCACTGACTCACTCACTCAGTCACCCACTCAACCTCCCACGCACCCAATGGGGTCCACCCGTCCAGAGTTTCATTCACCTGGACAATTTCCGAATTGGAATTCGGTATTCGGGTGTCAGGCAATACATTTCACTAAGATCCGGTACCGACTTTGCGTAGGATGAATGTATCAAAAGGCGAACAGTGGTCACCCTTTGGCGTCATCTGGTCTGGCACTCGTGAGACTATGCCATAAAGAATGTTGCTGTCCTCTGGTGTAGGCCAATCGGTTTCAAAGGCAATGCATAATTATTATCAGAGCCACGTCTTTGCATGTTAACCACAAGTACATGTGGTTAATGCAGACTTGGATCCTTGCAACAGCTATCTATTTAGTGTTTAAACATCTGAACACCTCCTGTTTTATACTGGTAGGAAACGTAGTGGACTGGAAGCCCAACCGGGATTAATTCACAGGAGGCAGGGGATTAATTGTGTATGTCTGTGGATGTCTGTCCACGTGGGAGGGGTGGGGCTGGGTGGAGAGGGGAGGGTAGGGAGGGGTTGGGTGGGGAGGGGCTGGGTGGGGAGGGAAGGGTGGGGAGGGGCTGGGTGGGGGAGGGTGGGGCTGGGTGGGGGGGTGGGAGGGGTGGGGCTGGGTGTGGTGGGGCTGGGTGAAGAGGGGCTGGTCACCCCGTGGTGCCCTTATATGGACTGGAAGCACAACTGGGATTAATTCACAGGAGGCAGGGGATTAATTGTGTATGTCTGTGGATGTCTGTCTACGTGTATCCGGACACCCGGATAAAATGGGAGGGGTGGGGCTGGGTGGAGAAGGGAGGGTGGGGAGGGGCTGGGTGGGGAGGGGAGGGTGGGGAGGGGCTGGGGTGGGGAGGGTGGGGCTGGGTGTGGGGGTGGGGAGGGTGGGGCTGGGTGGGGTGTGGGAGGGGTGGGGGGGTGGGAGGGGTGGGGCTGGGTGGGGAGGGGCTGGTCACCCCGTGGTGCCCTTATAAAACTCAACGTTTAACCAACTCACGCCGGCTTGTGCCCGCCCTCACAGTCGGGCATATTTGCGGAATACACCAACGTGGTGGTGCCGCCGTGACCCTGGCCATTGACCGAGCAAACCAACGTTCCTAACCAGCTCCCTCCGCAGAAATGTGTTTGCCAGAAAGTGTGAAACCTATTCTCATTTTTAATACTTTGATACTGGCAAAAACGGCCCAATGATATAGGCCTGGGAATAGGAATAGGTTTTTACCCTTTAAACTGGCACAAAAAACTGACAACCTTTATTCAAGGCATCATGTTTGCAATAACCACAACACAAGCAGTCAAAATGCAAACAAAAAAGACAACTCTGATAATAATATGCACTGTCCTTGAATTTGATTGGTCCACACCCGAGACAGCTTTTCTTAGAGCCTAGTCTCCACTGGTGTTGGACCAGAAGACGCCAAAAGGCGTACAACTCTTCTGGTCCAACAGCAATGGAGACTAGGCTCTAAGAAAAGCTGTCTCGGGTGTGGACCAATCAAATTCAAGGACAGTGCATATTATTATCAGAGTTGTCTTTTTTGTTTGCATTTTGACTGCTTGTGTTGTGGTTATTGCAAACATGATGCCTTGAATAAAGGTGTCAGTTTTTGTGCCAGTTAAAAGGGTAAAACCTATTCCTATATCTTGTTTCTGGCAAAAGAGGTCTCATAATGTAAAGGCCTGGGAATGTTTGGCTCTGTCGAAAAAGTGGCAGTCCTAGTCTGGAGACAGAATGGAGTTCCGCTTATGTCTGCTTTTGCCCTACAACAGTGGTTCTCGAAGTTTTGGCCACGGTACCACCGGTGGTCTCCGATGGTCCTCGAGGTCAGCGGTCCCCAACCTTTTTGGCACCAGGGACCGGCTTCATGGAAGACAATTTTTTCACGGACCGGGTAGGGGGGGGGGGGAGGGGGTTCATCATTGGGTCTTTCCCCCTTTTCAAAGAAGCTCTCTAGCTATGTTTGTGTTTGTTACTCATTGTGGCTACTAGGGGTTAGAGCTTGTGGGCTTACCAACACCACGTGACTGAGACGAGTGCGCAGTGCGAGAAAGGGGCGCGGACGGAAATGGTAAATAATAAAATAATGGGGGCGGGCCACGTGCGGACTCACCGCTGTCACCTCCTGCTGTGCGGCCCGGTTCCTAACAGGCCACGGACCGCTATCGGTCCGCGGCACCGGGGTTGGGGACCCCTGGTCTTGGTGGTCCCACAAGTGGCCGTGATGCAGGGTTGATTCGGAACAATGATGACAACATTTTTTATACCTGTTGTTTGAGCCGTGAATTCATATTTTACTCACGATATATATAAAAAAATGAAGTTAGCTACCCTGATTAACCACCCTAACCCTAAACACGTAAAGCTGCATTAAAACAAAAAAAACTAATGCTACGGTAATATGAAAGTTTTGTATGAGTACTGCTATTTAGAGAGATAAGCGAATGCGTTTTGTCACCAGGGGTGTGGGTTTGGGTGAGGGGTGGGGGGAGTTGTGTGGTCCGCAGAATGTTTGCATTCCCTGAGCGGTCCACGAGGCCTAAAAGGCTTGAGAAACACTGCCTCCATTATCATCCATGGGGTTAGACTTACGGGTGGGGATCCATTATCTATGGATTATTATCCATTATCCATGGGTCATTATCTATTATCCATGGGTTTAGACTCAGGGTAAGGATTCATTATCCATGGGTTATCCATTATCCAAGGGTTATTATCCGTTATCCGTGGGTTAATAACCATTATCCATTGCTTTATATTCAGGGTAAATATCCGTTATCCATGGATTATCCATTTTGCATGGATTATTATCCATTATATATGGGTTTAGACTCACGTGTGAGGATCCATTATCCATAGATTATTATCCATTATCCATGGGTTATCCATTATCTATGGGTTATCCAATATCTATTGGTTATTATCCATTATCTATGGGTTATCCATTATCTATGGATTATTATCCATTATCTATGGGTCATTATCCAATAGCTAAGGGTTATTATCCATGTGTTCTTCCTTAGCCATAGGTTAAAGACTCACGGGTGAGGATCTATTATCCATGGATTATTATCCATTATCTATGGGTTATTATCTAATAGCTATATGTTATTATCCATGTGTGCCATAGGTTAAAGACTCACGGGTGAGGATCTATTATCCATGGATTATTATCCATTATCTATGGGTTATTATCCATTATCTACGTGTTATTATCCATGTGTTCTTCCTTAGCTATAGGTTAAAGACTCACGGGTGAGGATCCATTATCCATGGATCATTATCCATTATCTATGGGTCATTATCCAATAGCTATGGGTTATTATCCATGTGTTCTTCCTTAGGCATAGGTTAAAGACTCACGGGTGAGAATCTATTATCCATGGATCATTATCCATTATCTATGGGTTATCCATTATCTATGGGTAATTATCCATTATCTATGGGTCATTATCCAATAGCTATGTGTTATTATCCATTATCTATGTGTTACTATCCACGTGTTCTTCCTTAGCCACAGGTTAAAGACTCACGGGTGAGGATCTATGATCCATGGATTATTATCCATTATCTATGGGTCATTATCCAATAGCTATGTGTTATTATCCAATATCTATGTGTTATTATCCACGTGTTCTTCCTTAGCCACAGGTTAAAGACTCACGGGTAAGGATCTATGATCCATGGATTATTATCCATTATCTATGGGTCATTATCCAAATAGCTATGTGTTATTATCCATTATCTATGTGTTATTATCCACGTGTTCTTCCTTAGCCACAGGTTAAAGACTCACGGGTGAGGATCCATTATCCATGGATCATTATCCATTATCTACGGGTCATTATCCAATAGCTATGTGTTATTATCCAATATCTATGTGTTACTATCCACGTGTTCTTCCTTAGCCACAGGTTAAAGACTCACGGGTAAGGATCCATTATCCATGGATCATTATCCATTATCTATCGGTCATTATCCAAATAGCTATGTGTTATTATCCATTATCTATGTGTTATTATCCACGTGTTCTTCCTTAGCCACGGGTTAAAGACTCACGGGTGAGGATCGCGTGGCCTGGCGGAACACGCTCCGGGATGTCCGCACAAACGTGGCCCATGGCGAATCCTGGCCGGCAGCCGCCATCACCTGACGAGGCCTGCTGAGTGACGTCAGCAGAGGTTGTGGATCAGAGAAATGGACAGTGTACGTCAAAACAGAATTTACTCTTGACATACCTTGTATCTTGATTTAAAGCTTTCGTGGCTGCAGTAATTCATATTCTTAGTTTTTTCGGTAAAGTCACGTTGAAGGGAAACAACAAAATAATAATATATATATAAAACAATAAAAAAATTCTCACGACGTTTCGACCATAACTCAAACGGTCGTCTTCAGGTCGAAACGTCGTGAGAATTTTTTTATTGTTTTATATATATTTTATTATTTTGTTGTTTCCCTTCAACGTGACTTTACCGAAAAAACTAAGAATATACCTTGTATCCTCGACGTAGCCAACGAACTAACGCACAAGCGTTGTCAAGGGTTGCCTCTGCGGATGTGTATGCTTTAACTTTTAACATAGCTATTTCTGTGACCAGTCACAAGCTAATCACTCAGCCATTTCAATGCTAAATTATATGCTAATTCCTTTGTCAAGGCGCTTTGTTTCCTCTCACACAGCTTAAAGGTCGTGATCTGAACGTGGCTCTTTCACTCCAGCGCTGTCCTACCAGACAGTCTCGTCCCTTCACCTGATGAAGGCCGCTTGTGTTGTGGCCGAAACGTCGTGAGAATATTACTGTGTTATTTTATTTTATCAATTTATTATTTTATTCTCATTCTACGTGACTTTACCGAAAGAACCAAAGAAGATAACGCACAAGCGTTTAACGCGCCAGCTGTTGTTGCTTTGGCTTACTCGCCGGTGGGTTACTTGGAGAACAATTCTCGCCACCCAATTCGGTGGTTAGATGCGCGACGTTTTAACTTTAAGCCGGCGATACGGGTTAACAAATAGCGACTGTGCGTGAGTGGCACAAGGGAATCCGTTGGGGCTATGAAGCAAAAGCCAGCAGTCAATCACCCTGTTTCAGAGAACAGCCCAGGATGAGTATGTTGTCACGGAACGAAATCTGCAGTCACCTTCAGCTTTCACCCACTTTCTGGTTACACCTTTTTTTAATGTGTGCCCTGCGGACAATGTTCATCACACATGCTATCAAACAAAATATCAACTGGTTACACTGGAGAACACGTATATAAAAAAAATCACATCTTAGTCGACGCAGACTCTATTGGTCTGTGGGGTTTCTAAGTCATTGTTAAGCGGGCTGAGACTATCAACCTATTACACTTGAGAAACCAATTTAATCATAATTCAATCTCCGTAGTCTGTTGGTCTCTATGTAAGACTATGGGTCTCTACGTGAGTGTGGGTCTCTATGTGAGTCTATGGGTCTCGATGTGAGTCTGTGGGCACTCAAAACGAGTCTATGGGTCTCTGTGTGTCTGTGGGTGTCTCTGTGAGTATATGGGTCTTTATGTGAGTCTATGGGTCTCTACGTGAGTTTGTTGGTCTCCGTGTGAGTCTAGGGGTCTCTATGTGAGTATGTGGTTCTCGATGTGAGTTTGTTGGTCACCATGTGAGTCTATGGGTCTCTAAGCGGGTCTGTTGGTCTCTATGTGAGCATAGAGTTTCAATGTAAAGTAATGGTGACTTGGCCGAAAACATCGACTCCATACACTCAAGATACCGGGTTAATAACGAAACCCTGATTCGAACCCAGGCTCTTAGTGGTGCCAGTTAAGCACTGTGAACTCTGAGCCACTCAGCACGCAATTTGAAAATGTAGCCAAATAGGGTGGAGTATAATTTATTTCATACATTTACAGACGCAATTTGTAATTAATCTGACGTTTTATTAACATGGTAGTGTGCTGGAGGGTTTAATTAGACTCACATAAATTTGAGCCTTGTTTTCTATTCTTTTAATTTGGAGAGACTACGTAATCTCCGGTCTTAGCCCTTGACATTGCTCAAGGCCTTTGGTCGTCTCTGGCATCACGCGCTCCTGTGCTGGGGGTTGCCGTCAATCGGCATTCAGTCGAATCTGCAAGCCTGGATTTCCAGCTTTCCAATGGATATGTCGGTATATAGAGCAAACCCTTGTTAATTCGGCACATATGGGGCTCTGGCCTTGCCGAATTATGTACCATGGCCTCCTGCCCCAATACATTTGTTTTCCAAATTTGTTTTCCAAACGCATCACACACTATAAGCAATGACACACACCATGCATCAATTCTATCCAAAATTTTGGGGCCGTCCATAAATGATGTCACGCGATTTTGGACAATTTTTGACCCCCCCCAACCCCCCACGTCACACGGCGTCACAAAAAGTCAGACCCCCCCCCCTCAAATATGACGTCACAAAGCTCTGCCCCCCCCCCCCAAAACCATATTTCCATTTTGGAAATAAAAGATGCTTCAAATTGCTTTAAACTATTGTCATTGTAGTGCGTATTGAATGTGGCGCTGCATTGATGTTGTAGGAGTGTTGTTATAACAATTAGTGTTGTTATAACAATTCTATATTTATTTAAATTTGCACATTTTTACGTGACGTCACATTTATCAAACCCCCCCCTCCCTCCCTCACCACACATCGTCACAAATGTCTGACCCCACCCCCCCCCAGGTGCGTGACGTCATTTATGGACGGCCCCTAAGGGATTGACTTGCGCAGAGTGCACACGCAAGGTGAAGTCCACAGCGACGGGTCTACACACGCTCGCCACGTGCGTCGCCATGGGATGGAGTCATTGTTTTGGTCGTGGTGAGCGGCGTGACTCCACGTGCTATGCCGAAATTGGACCATTTGGTATGCCAATTCGGCTCATGGCGAATTACCAATACACCGTATATATCTTCTTTGGTTCTTTCGGTAAAGTCACGTAGAATGAGAATAAAATAATAAAATAAAACAATAAAATTCTCACGTATATATGCCGAAAGTGCAGTCATGCCAAATTATCCCCAATTACGAATGATCAAATACCGAAATAACGAGGTTTTACTGTATTTATGCACATACACACACGGTAGTTTATGGTAGCCAATCTGATACGCTTCGCCATTAACCGTGGCCTTCCACAAGGATCTGCTCGTAACAATCTGCACCTTTACGGATGACAAGCACACTTCACACAGCACTCATTTCAATAACAAGCTGAAAGTTATAGAGACGTGGATGTTGAACTTCTTTCGCACCATACGCAGCCAACTGTGCCAATCGGAGGTGCGGGGGAAGGACCACAAACTAAACACAACGAAGCAGTTCTAAAGAAATGGGTCTCTGTGTGGTGAGTCTATGGATTCTAGGGGTCTCTGTGTGAGTCTATGGGTCTCTGTGTGGTGAGTCTATGGGTCTCTGTGTGGTGAGTCTATGGGTATCTGTGTGGTGAGTCTATGGGTCTCTGTGTGAGTTTATGGGTCTCTGTGTGGTGAGTATATGGGTTAAATTTCGATTTAAAGTTTTCGTGACTGCAAGGATTCATCTTCTTTGGTTCTTTCGGTAAAGTCACGTAGAATGAGAATAAAATAATACATTGATAAAACAAAATAACACAATATTCTCACGACGTTTCTGTGTGAGTCTATGGGTCTCTGTGTGGTGAGTATATGGGTCTTTGTGTGAGTCTATGGGTCTCTGTGTGAGTCTATGGGTCTCTGTGTGAGTCTATGGGTCTCTGCGTGGTGAGTCTATGGGTCTCTGTGTGGTGAGTATATGGGTCTCTGTGTGGTGAGTCTATGGGCCTCTGTGTGAGTCTATGGGTCTCTGTGTGAGTCTATGGGTCTCTGTGTGAGTCTATGGGTCTCTGTGTGAGTCTATGGGTCTCTGCGTGGTGAGTCTATGGATCTCTGTGTGGTGAGTATATGGGTCTCTGTGTGGTGAGTCTATGGGTCTCTGTGTGAGTCTATGGGTCTCTGTGTGGTGAGTCTATGGGTCTCTGTGTGGTGAGTCTATGGGTCTCTGTGTGAGTCTATGGGTCTCTGTGTGGTGAGTCCAATGGGTCTCTGTATGAGTCTATGGGTCTCTGTGTGAGTCTATGGGTCTCTGTGTCGTGAGTTTATGGGTCTCTGTGTGGGTCTATGGGTCTCTGTGTGGTGAGTCTATGGGTCTCTGTGTGGGTCTATGGGTCTCTGTGTGGTGAGTCTATGGGTCTCTGTGTGAGTCTATGGGTCTCTGTGTGGGTCTATGGGTCTCTGTGTCGTGAGTCTATGGGTCTCTGTGTGGGTCTATGGGTCTCTGTGTGGTGAGTCTATGGGTCCCTGTGTGGGTCTATGGGTCTCTGTGTCGTGAGTCTATGGGTCTCTGTGTGAGTCTATGGGTCTCTGTGTGGTGAGTCTATGGGTCTCTGTGTGGTGAGTCTATGGGTCTCTGTGTCGTGAGTCTATGGGTCTCTGTGGGTCTATGGGTCTCTGTGTGGTGAGTCTATGTGTCTCTGTCGTGAGTCTATGGGTCTCTGTGTGAGTCTATGGGTCTCTGTGTGGTGAATCTATGGGTCTCTGTGTGAGTCTATGGGTCTCTGTGTGGTGAGTCTATGTGTCTCTGTCGTGAGTCTATGGGTCTCTGTGTGAGTCTATGGGTCTCTGTGTGAGTCTATGGGTCTCTGTGTGGTGAGTCTATGGGTCTCTGTGTGAGTCTATGGGTCTCTGTGTGGTGAGTCTATGTGTCTCTGTCGTGAGTCTATGGGTCTCTGTGTGAGTCTATGGGTCTCTGTGTGGTGAGTCTATGGGTCTCTGTGTGAGTCTATGGGTCTCTGTGTGGTGAGTCTATGGGTCTCTGTGTGGTGAATCTATGGGTCTCTGTGTGGTGAGTCTATGGGTCTCTGTGTGGTGAGTCTATGGATCTCTGTGTGAGTCTATGGGTCTCTGTGTGGTGAGTCTATGGGTCTCTGTGTGGTGAGTCTATGGGTCTCTGTGTGAGTCTATGGGTCTCTGTGTGGTGAATCTATGGGTCTCTGTGTGGTGAATCTATGGGTCTCTGTGTGAGTCTATGTATGTGTGTTGAACTTCTTTCGCATCTTACTTAGCCAACCGTGTCAATCGCAGGTGAGGGGGAAGGACAACAACCAAAACGCAGAGAAGCACGTAACATCCTTCCTCCGCAGCTCTCTCGATATTTTTTTTTCACCTGGTGACGATTGCTTGCGTTGCGATCGAAACGTCGTGATATTTTCGTATTATTTTTTTTATATCTACGTGGCTTTACCGAAAGACCCAGAGAATATGAATTCAAAAAAGCAGTTCCAATTTAATGTCGTCCTCAAGTTGGCGAAGACGCATGGACATGGCCATTAGACAATTTTCCGTGCGTTCCCTTCTCTACGCTTTGTGCCCGCTTGTTCAGCGGAGATCGATACTTTACGATGAATCACCGCTCACCTGAAAACAATTCTTAATTTGCGATTGTCAAAAAAAAAAACACGCGGTCAAAACTGCCACAACTTAACACGTGCGTGTTGGCAGCCCGCGTTATCTTACCTTAAAACAATGTACATAGCGCCTTAACTAAGGCGCTTTAGACATAATTAACAACGGTATGACAACGTTTGAATGTAATGATGGTGATGAGGTGAATGAAATAGATGAGAGGAAGCGATGGGGCCGCGAATCTGTAATGATGCATGAATTCGTTGACATCGAAATTGATGACGGTAAATTATGATGATGATGATGATGAATGGATTTAATTAACGGGGTTAATGAGTGAAAGCCATCTAATGAGAACATGAAGAGGGGGAGATTAACGGGGGGGGGGGGGTGGTGGTCGTGGGTGAGCGTGGAGTAACAAGAAGCGAGTTTTGAGTGCGGAGCAGGAAACTCGCGAGCGAAGGTAACCGCTTGATGTGGAGGGGGAAGTTTCTCATTGGGTTTTTTTTCGGAAAAAGCCACGTCTGTAGAAATACAATAATATTATATTTTTAAAAAATCACGACGTTTCGACCGCAACACAAGCGATCTTCATCAGGTGTAAAAAAAAAACAAATAGCGAGGGAGCACACAGGGCGACACCAACGCAACACGTAGAGAGAGCGCCAAACTGCACGGAGGTAAATACAACGAGAAGATGAGAGACGAGAATTCGACAAACCTAAGGAAAAATTTACGTGATGCACAACCAGTCAGGCCAACAACACAGGGGGAAGTTTGTTCCGGCGACGGGAGGTTGTCGAGAAGAGAGAGAGAGAGCGAGAGAGGCAGAGCGTGACAGCGTGGATTGAGCACAAGGAGACGGAGGAACGGCGAGAGGCAGCAAAGATTGAGAACGTGGAGGGCGAGAAGGCGACGCCGAGAAATGATCACAAGCGCGGTAAGATGCGGTCGGGCAACACCACCAAGGGATTCGCAATGCATTTTTTTTTTGGGGGGAGGGGGGGGTGGTTAGGCCGTAGAATAATCTGGCTAAAGTGCGCGTCGTGTATCCCCTCCACCACCCGACACAGACAAACATATGGCAGTTGTCACCAGGGTGGTGTGCACGCGGAATTCGACCGCGTGCCAATTGATGTAGGGTGAGGGGACCGAACATCGCGACCAATTGTGTTTGAAATTAGGCACGCGACGCTCTGCGTTTCGCTTGCGACTGAGACAAGCATTGAGCGAGAGACCAGGCATTCAGAATGACCGACAACAAAAAAACTTTAAACACATTCTCCTGCGGAGGGAGGAGCTGGTAGGAACGTTGGGTTGCTCGGTCAATGGCCAGGGTCAACGGCGGTGTGGTGTATTCCACAAATATGCCCGACTGTGAGGGCGGGCACAAGCCGGCGTGAGTAGGTTAAACGTTGAGTTTTGTAAGGGCACCACGGGGTGACCAGCCCCTCCCCACCCAGCCCCTCCCCACCCTCCCCTCTCCACCCTCCCCTCTCCACCCAGCCCCTCCCCCCCCCCCATTTTTGGATGCACGACGGACGGACAGACACAATAATCCCCTGTGGGCTGGTGTAACCAGGAGGTTCCTACCAGTAATACCCCGACGTGTATGGCATAAAACTCAACATGACGAAGCGATCCATAATAGAGGGGGGTTTTTTTTGGTTCGAACGCGTAAATATGTGTCGTGAAACCCGCCACCACCCGACACAGCCAATTAGTAAGGGTTGTCACGTACAATAAAACGCGGCTATTCATTCCTAGGTCAGCACACCGGTGTGTTGGGAGAGTAAACCCACAACATCGACAATTCGAGTGCGACGTTTCGCCGGCAATTACAACCGGCATCATCAGGGGACAGCCAGAGTTGTGGATAAATGTGCTGTCGTAACCTGTGAGTCAAACAGGTGGTAAAAGTTTTTTTTTTTTAAACCCCCTCTACGCGTTACGCAAGGCAAATGATATGCCTTTTATTGCTGCAGGAAATCCTCGCAAGACACTCGAAGACTCTTCTTGCGTGCAGGAGAGCGCAGTGCAGCAAAAAGAAAAAACAATAAATCATCCACTGCACTTCCACATCACCAAACCCTGCATGACCAGCGTAGCGAGGTACTGGGAAATTACCCCCGACAAACCGCACGGCGTGGAGAGGCCCGTCACCCAGCAGGGGACTGGAGAGGGACTCTTTTGTACACGGACGCCCCGGAGGCGCTTGGCAGGAGCTGGGGCAAAGCAAAGGATCCTGGGCCCCAAGCGGCGCAAGCAGCCGATGATTCGCCGGGGAAAGAGGAGAGCGGGTGCTTAAAATACCAGCTTAAATCCTCATCCTGTCGAACACCAGCTAGGCTACATTAACGGTTCATGAATCTCACTGAACTTGCCTGCTTTTACGTCTCCGGTGCACGTCTCTCTCTCTTTCTCTCTCTCGCCTCGCTCTATCTCCGTCTCCTTTCCACGTCTATCTCGTCTCGCATTGTCATCGCCATATATGTGTTAACATGTTACTCATCTTCCTCTGTAGCGCTCGCTCGTCAACGTGGCGTGCGCGAGGACCACCATCACCACCACCACCACAACCACCACCACCGCAACCATCACCACCACCACAACCACCACCACCACAACCACCACAACCACCACAACCACCCCCACCACAACCACCACCACAACCACCACCACGTGGCTTTTCTTTCGTGTTGTGCGCGGTGATTTTTAGCGCCACAGCGCGTGGATTTGTAGCGTTTATTTGCATTTGTGTTGCTGGTGACTTTGTGTTATTTCATATCGAAATCGCACTCCAGTGCTTTTGCTGCTGGCGGCAATAAAAGTTGTTTTAAAAGTCAAAAAGTCCGTCTCGTTCCCAGATCGCTCCTGTCATCTCGCGAGGAAGAGGAGGAGATGGGGGCGGGTGGAAGGTTGAGGGGCATTTAAGAAATGTCCCAATCTCCTTGGTTCTTTCGGTAAAGTCACGTAGAAAGGAAATAATAAAATAATAAAAAAACAAACAATACAATTCTCACGACGTTTCGACTGCTACACAAGCAATCATCATCTTGCTGTGGTTCTCACACCTGATGATGATGATGATCGCTTGTGTTGCAATATAAACGTCGTGAGAATTGTATTGTTTTATTTTTATTATTTTCCTTCTACGTGGTGACTTTACCGAAAGAACCAACAATATGAATCCCTGCAGTCACGAAAGCTTCAAATCGAATTGTCCCCATCGTTTCAATTGCCGCGCGAGATATCGAGCACTTCGAGAATAAGAAAATACAAAGATCCCCCGTATGGCCTCGTTCCTCCAGACTGGCTGGTTCATCTCATCCATACGATGTCCAACCACCACAATAATGGTCACAACAACACAGTCACACGCTCGCTCGCTCGCTCGCCCATCTCATTCACCCACGTGCCCACTCGCTCGCTCTCCAACTTAGGACTGTTGGGACGAATCCTGCTAGCGAGCAGCACCTATGAAGGGCGGACACGACACACGTGGAGGGTAAGGTGGTCAGCACCACGCCCCGGATCGCCCTTGTCTCCTCCTCGTGGCGACGTTTACACACCGCACCAGGTACCCATTTGTAGGCTGAGTCGACCTAGGGGAGACCCAGGACCGCTTCGAATATTCGCCACTGTTATTGGTCGTTGGCGGCGGGAAACGAACTCAGGTGGCCGGGGCTCATAGCGCAGCGCGCTAAACACTGCGCGAGTAAACGCACAAAGACAAAGATCCCCCTTATAGCCTTTACGGACGGTTGAGGCAAGTGCTGTTAGCGAGCAGCTATGAATGCCGGCACGGAACACACGAGGGAGGTGGGGTGGCCAGCAACCACGCCCGACCGCCTTTGTCTCCCCTAGTGGCGATGTCTGCTGCGCACCGCACCACGTACTCACTTGAGGCTGAGTCGACCCAGGGGAGGCCCAGGACGGGTTCAAATAGTCGTCACTGGATGTTGGCCGTGAGCGGAGCGGGAATCGAACGCTGGTCGCCGCGTTCGTAACGCAGCGCAGCGCTAAACCGCTGCACCACCGCTCCCCACGCGCACGCGCGCGCACGCGCGCGCGCGCGACACGACACGTAACCTGGCGGAGGTGAAAATGCGCGCGCTCACCTGGGCCAGCGGAGTTGAGGAGGCGGCAATGCCGATAGCGGCGCTCGCCACGCACAGCGCAACGATCGCTCTCCCTTCAGGAGTCATGTCTTCCAGATGCAACCTCACCCACTCCCGCCGCAGCAGGGAGACCAAGAAGCCTCGATCGACAAAATCTGTTGCCTCTTGAGACGTCGCTTAACGTGGAAGACGCCAGGGGCAGGCGGGCGGGCGATCGAACGAGAGAGAGAAGAGAGTTCGACCGCCGTGAGACAATGCAGAGGTGCGGTGGAGAGGGGGAGGGGGTGGTTGTTTTGTTTTAAAAACTTCGAGGCAGCGATGCATTGTCCCACCTCTACCCACGCACCAACGACCTCACCCCACCCCTTCCTTCATTCTCTCGCGAGCACCCAGAGCTCGGAACGGCCCCCCCCCCCTCGCTGCCCCTCCTCCATCTCTATCAGACACGTACACAGGCTGTGTGTATGAGCCACTGGCGATGGGGGCAGGATTGTTCTTGAACATTAGCGAGGGTCACGGTGAGTTTTGTCTTATTTAGTTGTTGAGCACAGGGCCCAAAGGGTCGAAACGTGATGCGGCCAGCCACAAACAGCACCGTCAAGAGTTGCGATAGATAAGGATGCACACGTTTCTCGAACTGAGCAAGGGTTATTACGACGGCCTGGCGATGCTGGGAGGGAATTCCAAAGTGGACCAGTGCGAGGGAAGACGCCAAAATAGCAGTGTAGTGACCTGCAGTGTTGTGAGTGGGTGGGTGGGTGAGTGAGTGAGTGAGTGGGTGAGTGAGTGAGTGAGTGGGTGAGTGAGTGGGTGAGTGAGTGGGTGCGTGAGTGGGTAAGTGAGTGGGTGAGTGAGTGAGTGGGTGAGTGAGTGAGTGGGTGGGTGAGTGAGTGGGTGAGTGAGTGGGTAAGTGAGTCAGTGGGTAAGTGAGTGGGTGAGTGGGTGAGTGAGTGGGTGAGTGAGTGGGTGAGTGAGTGTGTGAGTGAGTGGGTAAGTGAGTGGGTGAGTGAGTGGGTGGGTGAGTGGGTGAGTGAGTGGGTGAGTGAGTGAGTGGGTGAATGAGTGGGTGGGTGAGTGAGTGGGTGAGTGAGTGGGTGAATGAGTGGGTGGGTGAGTGGGTGAGTGAGTGAGTGGGTGAGTGAGTGGGTGAGTGGGTGAGTGGGTGTGTTGTTGTTGTTGTTGACCTCCAGTGAAATGGTTGAACACAGCACGCGAACCCTTGTGGGCTATGAGGAAGCCACTGAAGCCATGCACTTTTAAAATCAAGATTAAAAAAAAAACTCAGTCCTTTAGGAACTGCTTTTGTTGTGTTCAGTTTGTTGTCCTACCCCGATTAGCGCGGTGGGCCACGTACGGTGCAAAAGAAGTTCAACATATGTGCACGCACACGTTCCAGACGTCCGCAGCAGCGCAACTGAAAGCGCGCGACGCAGTTAATGACCGTCCTTCTTGCTGCCGGGGTTGGCGTGATGATGAAGATGATGAAGATGATGGTGGTTTATGATCCTTGCGGAAGAGATCAGCAGCAAGGTAATTGCGGTTCATTTGTGACAAGCGCTTTGCGTTGGACGATGAGCGCGATCGGGAGGCGCTCAGAGATCTCTCCTGCCTCCGGCAGAGGAGTCCTTTCGACAGCAGCGGCACGAACGCGCAATTGCGGGTTGCTGCGCTAAAGTGCCTTTGAAGCGAACAAGGTAAGGAACTCGCAATCAGCATCAAGTTGCCTCGCGCGACAAGCACGGCGTGGAGAGAGAGAGGTCTTCCTCCAGCAGTGGATTGACCTTGCAAATTGTTACATCGCCATTTGCCACGGCGTTTAAATGGGCCATGCAGCAAAACTGGTGTTGCAATAACAATGGTTTAGGGGAGTTTCGATTTAAAGCGTTCGTGACTGCAGGGATTTATATATCCGTGGTTCTTTCGGTAAAGTCACCACCACGTAGAAGGGAAATAATAAAAAATAAAACAATAAAATTCTCGATTTGAAGCTTTCGTAACTGGAGGGATTTATATTTTTGGTTCTTTCGGTAAAGTCACCACCACGTAGCAGGGAAATAATAAAATGATAAAAAATAAAATGAAATTCTCACGGCGTTTCGTCCTAAAAGGCGCTGTCTTTACGAACGCTCCTACAGCTCTGTTCCTCACCCGAGGACGGCTGCTTGAGTTGTGGCCTCTTGTACATGTCGGTTGTGAAAATTTGATGAAGATAATAATAAAAATTAAATGAATTTTGGAGTTTGTGTCGTTATCCGCAAATTATGTTTATTGATGTAATTGTGCGCGTAAATTATGCTAATTCGAGAGCTAATCGTTTTAATTAACGCAGGCCGAAACGTCGTGAGAATTTAATTTCATTGCGTTGTATTTTAATTCTTTTATCATTTCCCTTCTCTACGTGACTTAAAACCGAAAGAACCAAGAATGTGGCTGCGGGGAGACTAAAATAAAAACACACGTTAAATGGGATATTAATTTGTATACCTCGCCGAAAGGGTTTGGGAGGTTTTAATTTTGTTCGTTACATTATTATTATTCTTTGAGTCAAAGAACGTAATGAGCTATTTGCGATTAACAGCCCGCTGGCTGCGGCAGGGCGGAGTGATTTGTGTCCCAGGGGGCTGGGGGAAACGGAGAAGACAACTTAGTTTTTTTTTTAAACTTTATTCCAATTGTTGATTAAATTTTTCATCCCACGACTCAGGAGTGGGCGCACAGGTCGGGTGGTTAACTTGGTCGGGGGTGGTGGAACTGGGAAGGCGGGGGTGGGGGGGGCGTTGCGTTACCGGTAACCACATGGTATATACCGGTTTTGCCGCGCACACACGTTATACATTATAGTATAGGGTTTTTTTTTTGGGGGGGGGGGGTGAGGTTAGATCGCGTAAGTATATAAATGTGTCGTTACAACCCGCCACCACCCGACACAGCCAACTAGTGAGGGTTGTGTCACGTAAACAGAACGTGGCCACTTCGTTACTAGTACAGCACTAGTGTATAATAGTGTAGTGTATAGTGAAGTGTATAGTAGTGTATAGTGTAGTGTGAAGTGTATAGTGTAGTGTATAGTGTAGTGTATAGTAGTGTAGTGTATAATGTAGTGTATAGTGAAGTGTATAGTGTATAGTGTAGTGTGAAGTGTATAGTGTAGTGTATAGTGTAGTGTATAGTAGTGTAGTGTATAATGTAGTGTATAGTGAAGTGTATAGTGTAGTGTATAGTGTAGTGTATAGTGTAGTGTATAGTAGTGCAGTGTATAGTGTAGTGTAGTATATAGTGTAGAGTAGTGTAGTGTATAGTGTAGTGTAGTTTATAGTAGTGTAGTGTATAGTGTAGTGTATAGTGTAGAGTTGTGTAGTGTATAGTGTAGTGTATAGTGTAGTGTATAGTAGTGTAGTGTATAGTGTAGTGTATAGTGTAGTGTATAGTAGTGTAGTGTATAGTGTAGTGTATAGTGGTGTGTAGTATATAGTGTAGAGTAGTGTAGTGTATAGTGTAGTGTAGTTTATAGTAGTGTAGTGTATAGTGTAGTGTATAGTGTAGAGTGGTGTAGTGTATAGTGTAGTGTAGTATATAGTGTAGTGTATAGTAGTGTAGTGTATAGTGTAGTGTATAGTGTAGAGTTGTGTAGTGTATAGTGTAGTGTATAGTGTAGTGTATAGTAGTATAGTGTATAGTGTAGTGTATTGTGTAGTGTATTGTGTTGTGTATAGTGTAGTGTATAGTGTAGTGTATAGTAGTGTAGTGTATAGTAGTGTAGTGTATAGTGTAGTGTATAGTGTAGAGTAGTGTAGTGTATAGCGAAGTGTATAGTGTAGTGTATAGTGTAGTGTATAGTGTAGTGTATAGTGAAATGTAGAGTGTAGTGTATAGTGTAGTGTATAGTAGTGTAGTGTATAGTGTAGTGTATAGTGAAGTGTATAGTAGTGTAGTGTATAGTGTAGTGTATAGTGTATTGTATAGTGTAGTGTATAGTAGTGTAGTGTATAGTGAAGTGTATAGTAGTGTAGTGTATAGTGTAGTGTATAGTAGTGTAGTGTATAGTATATAGTGAAGTGTATAGTAGTGTAGTGTATAGATTGTATAGTGTAGTGTATAGTAGTGTAGTGTATAGTAGTGTAGTATATAGTGTAGTGTATAGTAGTGTAGTGTATAGTGTAGTTTATAGTGAAGTGTATAGTAGTGTAGTGTATAGTATAGTGTAGTGTATAGTGTAGTGTATAGTGTAGTGTATAGTGTAGTGTATAGTAGTGTAGTGTATAGCGAAGTGTATAGTGTAGTGTATAGTGTAGTGTATAGTGTAGTGTATAGTGAAATGTAGAGTGTAGTGTATAGTGTAGTGTATAGTAGTGTAGTGTATAGTGTAGTGTATAGTGAAGTGTATAGTAGTGTAGTGTATAGTGTAGTGTATAGTGTATTGTATAGTGTAGTGTATAGTAGTGTAGTGTATAGTGAAGTGTATAGTAGTGTAGTGTATAGTGTAGTGTATAGTAGTGTAGTGTATAGTATATAGTGAAGTGTATAGTAGTGTAGTGTATAGATTGTATAGTGTAGTGTATAGTAGCGTAGTGTATAGTAGTGTAGTATATAGTGTAGTGTATAGTAGTGTAGTGTATAGTGTAGTTTATAGTGAAGTGTATAGTAGTGTAGTGTATAGTATAGTGTAGTGTATAGTGTAGTGTATAGTGTAGTGTATAGTAGTGTAGTGTATAGTGTAGTTTATAGTGAAGTGTATAGTAGTGTAGTGTATAGTGTACTGTATAGTAGTGTTGTGTATAGTAGTGTTGTGTATAGTAGTGTAGTGTATAGTATATAGTGAAGTGTATAGTAGTGTAGTGTATAGATTGTATAGTGTAGTGTATAGTAGTGTAGTGTATAGTAGTGTAGTATATAGTGTAGTGTATAATAGTGTCGTGTATAGTAGTGTAGTGTATAGTAGTGTATAGTGTAGTGTATAGTGTAGTGTATAGTAGTGTAGTGTATAGTGTAGTATACTAGCACAGCAACACCGGTGTGTTGGAGAGCAAATCCACAAAATGTACAATTGGAGCACGACGTTTTAAACTGACTAATTTATGTTTTTAACTAAATTATATGTCAGGGTGTTGCAACGTACGATGCGAGGGAGGATGTGTAACAAAACATTTTTACAACAACAAAAATGTTCGCCAATAGACAGAACATGCCTGGTTGTTTTTTTTGGTTTCAACTTTTTTGGCCGAGAGAAACGAAAGCGAATGGACCACGCGGATTACCCACGCCGTGCGGTTTGTACGTTCGCGCGTGATGTAATCGGTCAGGCGCGGATACACATTTGTAACGAGGCGACTTCCGAAAGACGACTTGTAGAGGGTTTCTTATTTATTTCGTAAAAAAAATAACGACAGGGTCACAGAGTAACGTAAGCGCTGACTGACTAGCCTGGATGTTTTTTTTTTTTAAGCTGGTGAGCGTATTGGCAGTCTATGATGTAGACTGTAGCAATGGTTATTACTATATCTACATCACAGATTGCCAATACGCTCACCAGCTTAAAAACCAGGCTACAGTCTACATTATAGACTGCGAGTATGGTGACAGTTTAATAACCATTGTTACAGTCTACATCACAGA